AGGCCTTGCTGCATGGTCCTGCATTTCCTTGGGTTTTGTCACCACAGTTGGGGCTGCAGGGGAAGCTATTCCTGTTTGCCCAACCACCAGGAACTAATCGTTGTTTTCCAAGGTTAAATTTTTCATGGGTTCTGACCCAAATCACTGCTCACCTGCAGAGGCACAGATGGGTGTTGAGGCAAGAGAAGGGAAAGGGTTGGGGGGGTTGTGGGAGCCAGGATATCCCTCTTCACTGGCAGGTTAAGCTGCTCGGGGAATCACCCTGGCTGGCCGGCTGCTTTGGTAAGGTTTCCTGAGGCTGTTGTTCCATGAGCACTTCCGTGGCAGCTGAAGCAATTCCTCTTCCTCACCCCATCACTCCTTCCTCCTCCCAGGGACAACTGCTTGGGTGGTCATGCAGGAATTGGACCGGAGAGAACACAGCTACTACCCCAACCCTCACCCTTGGATGAGGGCTCTACAGGTGCAGAGTGGTGTGGTTCAGTCCTGGCTGCACAGGCTGTTGTGATGTGGTGCTGGTGGGGGCTGATATCCATAAAGGGACAACAGGGCCATATTTCAAACCATTAGTACTCTTGTATGTATGTGCTTCCCTTCTCCCTTTCAAGCACAAGCCTCCTGCTCTCCACTGCAGTTCTCAGCCCGGGGCAGTCGCAGTGTGGCACGCTGGCCCCAGGGCTGCAGGGCAGTGCCCAGCCCCGGCTGAGCAGGCAGGTAACGAGGCGTGTTGGTGCGAGACTGCTGCGTGCCTGGTGCTACTCTTCAGTTGCCCTGCCCAGAGCCACTGTCAAGGTGCTCCCTTCTTCTGTGACACCTGGGGTATGTGTGTCATGGCGTCCAGCTAGAGGATCTCAGCAGAAGACTAGAAGGAAAAGGGTCAGCTACACTTGCTGCCGTCTCTTGTTCAGCAACAGAGTGCTGACAGGTCCTCTTCGTCTCTCAAACATGCACTGAGGATCGAAGGAAAGGAATGCTTGGATTCAAATGACATACACACTGGGGGCTGGCTGGGCCAGGTGCATTTTCAGGCCCCTGCTAAAGCCCCCCAAGTCCCTTTAAGCCTGAAGACACTACCTCATGTTTGCCTAAAGCATGGCGGGGGGGCGAGTTCATGCCTCAGCCAGCACCCAGAGGTGCCCTCAAAGCTGTCGCAGCATTCACTGGATCATCTTACTGAGTGTTGAAGAGGTCAAGTGAGTTTTTGGGCCAGGATGTCTCTACTTCACCCTGTCGGCTCTGAGACTGCAAATACCCCAGGAGGGTCCTCAACACCATCTGAACCCAGCCCTTAGCTGGTTTTTGTCTCCAGCACTTTGCCCTGGTACACCAGCCAGGCACCTCCTCCTCATTACTGACAGGTCTTTGTGGCCAGGCGCAGCGCCTGCTGTGTATGACACAACACGGGTGCTTTACAATTCACATTCCTCAGTGTCCTGTTCTGTTGGAGGAAATTATGCTGGGCTTTTTTTTTAAACCCAGCTGATCTGCTGTAATGTCTAGACTCAAAAGCTGAGACAAGAGCAGCAGGTAATTGGATCCCTTTGGGTTTGGCAGGTCGTTATCTTAGCTGTCCTGTTACAGAGCTGTTCTTTGATCACAACTGTAGCTGTTGTCATTCATTTGCTCTGACACAACAGGGTTTCTGAGACCTTCTCATTTTTCCATGCTTTCCATCGCAAGAGTGAGAACTTGCTAATAGTGCTTAATATTTTCCTGCTGCATCACAACTGTTTCTGCTTTTGAGCAGAGCTGTAAAGCAAAACTTAAGCCTCCACAACTGCTCCAGTCAGACAGTGAACATGGTGCCAGAGCGAGGAGTGTCTGATGTGGCCCAGGTTATTGGCAAAGCCTTGTCCTCACTTCTTGACTAGGGAGGGAATTAACCCCGATACCTGTTCCTCCACCAGTGATGCACCAGCCTGGGGTTTATACTTCCATGGCAGTCAGGTGAAGGTGAACACTACACCCAAGTGGTCAAGCTGAAGTATTTGCTACTGAAGGCAGTTCTGCATGTTCACAGCCTGGTGATTTTGCTTCATGGGCCACCAAATATAAAGCCAGTAGGTGTTCCTCTTTTTCTCTGAAGTGTGTGAAGACCTGACCCAGGCCAGATAGGCACAAACCTTCACTGGGCCATGTCTCCCATTCCCGCAGCAAAGCCAAGCCACCTCCTGGAGCAGCTGAGTCACAGACATGGGCTCACTTGCTGCTGCTGCCTTATATATTGACTGCATTTAATTTTGAGACTTATCCTTAAACGCAATTAAAGCAAAAACCAGGACACAAAAATGAGGAAATGCCGATATTCCTGTGCACCTCTAATGGCAGGTCTGTCCTTGCCTTTGGTGGGAGGCTGTGCAATTCTGCAATAGCACAGTGCTTACTGCAAGGACTCACCTCACTCGTTTTGCAGCATGGACGATGCCCTGTGGAGAGCAGGCTGTTTAGCAGTGATAATCACTCTTCTGTCTGCCCAGGTCTGTAAGGTGCCAAAAACCAGATGGCTGATCTGATGGCCACGACCCAGCACGCAGATGGCAGGAGTCCCAAGCCTGACCAAACCTGCCCTGGTGACACAGAAGTCACCGAGCTGTTACGATACGTGGGCTCCTCAAGGCAGCAATATCGTGGAGAGCCTCCCTGCCTTCACCCTGGCAAAACGTCCCACCCTTCCCACCTCTGGCCACAGTAGACCAGCTCCATTGCCACTTCCAGGCTCACGGTCCTTTATAAAGCAACATTTGTATTGTCTTGTCTTGATCCTTTAAAAAGGATGGGGAGCACTTTTCAACCTCTTCAGTCTTAGGGGAAAAAGTACTCGGGTGCAGGTGATTCTGCAATGGAGGGTCATTTATGAAGGCTGAAATTGTGACTCCCTAACTTAAAAGCCAGAGAAGGGGAACAGAAGAGGGTGAACCATGGGCAGAACTGAACTGACTCCCAAGATAAAAAGAATACATAAATCACAGCTCATGAAAGAAGGCAAGCCTTGTCCTCAGCAGACAGGAACACTTACTTGAGTCTTAGCCTCTGCCCAGCTAAGGCCTTAAGTGAGGAAGGTGGAGGCCTTAAGGAGCAGCTACTGCTTCTACTTCTCCTACTCTTGCCTTTCTCTTAGCACACAGGGGCACAACATACAGAAAATGAGCCGCTGGCTCCCTCCGGACTGGCTGGATGTTCGGGGTCAGCTGGCAGACCCAGCCCAGGACAGCGGGAGCCTGCAAGACCAGAGGCACCTGCATGTCTCAAGATCTCCCCCTGCCGTGACAGAAGAAACTGGCAAGCACGGAGCTAGGAGAAGCCTCAGCCCCATCCTCCAGGGTTGCACTGATTTGCCAGGAGATGGGTCTCCCCTTCTTTTTCCTGCCCCTTAGGAAAGTACCAGGCAACATCAGCTGCTCCCCAGAGTAGTGTCCAGCACACAGACCAGCCTGCCAGATTCCCCGTGGACAGCCGAGACCCCTTAGCTACCCCTTCCCTTCTCTGGAGACTCTGGAAGCTGACTACTACACACCCCCACCAACCTCCAGCTTCATCAGTAACTTTTAACATAGAACAGCCTTGACCCTTCATACCTCACTGCTCCTTGGCTTTGACCCAACACCCACGGGTTACAGTAAACTGAGAAACTGCTGCTCAGAACAAACTGCAAATATTTGTGAAGAGCCATCATCCTACTGAGGGCTAAGGAGTGAGATTTACCCAGCTCAGACTGGTCAGCGTAGGGTCCAACAGCCCGTATGTTCATTAGATGAAGATAACTAAGGGGAGGAGGGTACAATATTCATCTTCCTTGGAGTTCTGGAAGCCACAATCAGGTGTTTTCCTCTTAGTCAGCATATGCTGACAACACATTGTTTGTGGCCAACAGCCCACCAGCTCTAGTTGTGCGAGCCAGCTGCCTCCACCCCACGGGTTCGCTTGGCCACAAACCTGGAGGTCAGGGTCAGGACTCCCACACGTACTGCCAGAGCGCAGCCTTGCTGCCTCGCCTCCGCTCAGCTCATCTCAACCGCAGGCAAGAGCAGCCCTGGGAGCACCTGCCATGGCACTTTTAATAGGGAACGGTTCAGCTCCTTAGTCACCCTCCAGCTGAAAACGCCGGATTTCCTCTGGCCGGGTCTCTGCAGACACTCCCCTCTTCTGAGACAGGGGTCTCCAAAGGGGAGCGTGCAAGACAATCCAAAGACCAGACATTCTCCCAAGCAGTACACGCACAAGTGGGGTGCACAAAGAAAATATTTTTATACCATTAAGAAAAAAATAATTTTAAATGTATTTAAGTACTTTACCTTTTTTTCATTTCTGTTTTTGTGTAGTTTTAAAATACACATATTAGTAAGATTTATATCCTTTATAAACAAATCTTGGGGACATACACTCAAATTTTTTACTGATGGGGGGTACAACCAATCCAGTTTGGAGACCACTAAGGAAAACAAAACCTTCAAAGACAGCTTTATACCTTCCATTTTTAAAGACAACCCTAGCTCCTTCAGAACTCAAGGAAGGATGATGTGCAAGTGTGCCGAGCCACGTCTTCCTCTGGCAAGGCCAGCAGCTCCTCAGAATCCGGGATATACTGGTGTCACTGAGGCCGCTCCCAATCCATGGGTGGGCATCATCTTGACAGAAGATGGAGCAGGCCCTGGAAGGCATGGTGGTCTGCCCTCACCCCCCGCTGCAGGACAGGCAGCCTTACACACCTCACCTCTGACTTTCCCTGTCGACGTATCTAAAACAGCAGGGACCGTAACACCAACTTTGCCTGCCTTCCATCACACCCCTCACATGCTCAATCTCCAAAACGCAGCCAGCAGTGGTTTCAGAAATACTCCCATACAAGGAAACCCATGAGGCCTCCTACCTCTACTCAACAAGCCCAGAAGTTCAGATAAAGGCTTTGGCCCTCCTTTCAATTTCAACTTCTGCTTAAATGTCAACTTCCAAATTGCTCTGCAGAAATCCACTTAAAAATCCAAACACCACCACACTATCAAAAAGATTAATAACATCAATCTTTATTCCAAACAAGACAGAACTACAGAACACCTGTAATCCTTCTGGTCATATTTTATGGAAATCTTGAAACACTGGACACAGGGACTTACTGTTCAAACTCTATCTATCAGGGATAGGATGATGGCACTGCTAAAGGTAAGTGTTTCTTCTAAACAGATAAACTAAAAGTTAAGGTTTAAAAGTTAACTTTCGTTTCTGATGCTTAGCTTTGTCTTCAGGTGTTCTTGCTTAGCAACAAAAGCAAAAAAAATAAGCCTGCTTTAGAACAGCAAGTAGGAATAAACAGAAGATGTAATCATACAAAGAAGCAACAGTTTAGTACGGTCTCATGCGGCTTGAGGGGGGTGGTGCACGATTCGGAGGAGTAATTGCTATATCCAAGTAGTCTCCTATCTGGAATTTCTGAGACTGCAATGTCATGGAATCATCTGTGCCCTTCCTGCCCGACATGGTACTGCCGATCTCCTTCACCCTGCACACAGGAGAGAAAAGGCAAAGTAGTTAGAGGCAAATCTCTCTAATGTCCAAACCAGGAACTCTGTCGGCTCATGACCACCTTACTGTGCCATCTTCTGCACTGCATTTAGTTACGTACATACACAAGATGCTGCATGTTTTCTCTCCACTACCAGGTGTGCCAAAAAACCCACACTGAATCCTTTCTGATGAGGCAGAGGGCTGGGGGAACCTCCTACTGTACTATGTTAAATACTCAAAAGAAGCCCCTGCCCCTTTCATACAGACACAGAACAAGACCCTGCAGACTACAGAGCAGGACATACCCACTGCTTGCTGACAAAGGGGAGTTCACACAGTTTTGGAAGGCTGATACCTGCAATGGTATCACTGGTAAAACTCAAATGCACTCTCAGATACAAGACCTACCACTCCTATCGCCAGGAACAAAGCTTTATCTCAAGCTGTAGGTCCACATTCTGGTGGGTGGCCATTACAGCCACCAAAGCCTTCAAGCACCCAGGTTCGTTGCCTTGGGAACACATTCACAACAACGGCCACCAAGCAAAATTTAGTTTGCATTGGCTATCATATAGCCTGTTATCAAGAACTTTAGAAATTTGATTTGTGGGTTCTGAACTTTAAAATCAGTGTTAATGAAAAATAATTCACTGCTCCAGTGCCTGAAGCCTTCTATTAACCCGGAGAGAAAATGCCATCTACCTATATCCAGGCCTCTTGAGGTCTGTAAAAACAATTGCAAAATTGAAGTGAGTGCCCTTCTTCCGTGCTTCTGGGTAGACTTCTTTCACTAAGCTGGTCAGCTCTTTCAGAGTTGCGTCCATCCTAGATTAAACAAAGAAACCAAAGCGCTTCAGGTCCTCAAAAGCAACAACAATAAAATAAAGCTTCCCCAAACCCATTTAAGGTGGAATCAATATATTGCTACAACTTAACCATATATTTCCTTGCCTTTGCGTGCTTTCTGTCAATACCTGAAGTTGAGTGTGATCTTACATTTCAGCTGCACGGTGTGCCATCAATTTCACAACTACATGGTGTTCCAAACAACACATTTTGGTCTACAGATTAAGTAACAAGAAGTTGCTCCAGTTATTAAAACACCTGGGAGAATTCACCACTTCCTGTACACTGGAGGCAACATGGTCTAGTGCAAGTGTGGTTCTAGCTGTAGCAGCTTCTTATTTACTGCAATAATTAGACAAGTCTCTTCACCTCTGTGTACATTTCAACATTTGCTTTTCCATGGCTCCCAAAAGTTACTATTTAAACAGCAGAGAACTTTTCTTTTTTAAAAAATAATGCATTGATTTATACAATGAACATTGTGAATGTTTCCTTATCTAAATTGGTGTCTATATTAAAATAGCTTCTTGAATACAAGAGAAAATGTAGAAATAAAAGAAAAAAATAATCATGAATAGTTTTCCATCAAGAGTTCCATTCCTGCCCTAACAGGCAGCACTCCTCCTTTTCCCAGCCTTCAACCAAAGCAGGGCTAAAGCTCATTTCTAGAATTTCAAGCACAAAAGGGCTTGATCATCACAACCAAAGCTGCTCTAATTATACAGACTGTACACTCACTCCAAGCAACCAAGGAGCAGTGTGTTGACAGACAATGCCCATTGTGACTTCTGCAGATGGCAAACAGCTCAGACACCATCAATAGTCTGGACTGAGTCCATAAATGCCATTAAGAAGTAAATTAGAACTGTGTGCTTTGCTAGCCACAAAAACGGATTTATTGAATCATACAACATACAAGTTCTAACCCTAGAAGCAGACACCTTGAAGGAAAAATAAGATTTAAAAGTAGCATAATTCACTTTCAAAAGTATTCTTCAAAATACTATAACCAAAAACTAATGTGTTTGCAACACAGACTAAAGTAGTTCTCCAAACTAAATATGAAAGCAGTAAAAAGCAGCTCTTTGTTAAAGCACTGCTACCTGACCAGACAAAACCAAACACGTTACTCCACCCTCAAGAGGCTGTGAGTTAAAACCACCAGACCACTCACACAACATTGAGAGCCTCCTAGGACAACTATTTCTACTAAAAAAACAGAGCTGTTGGAACAAGATTTAAGCATTAGTCAGAGGAGAACCTCTGTGCTGAATGGATCCGTTGCGATAACCCAGGACACACCACAACACAAGCCTCTGATCGTGCACATCAGTAACTGGGCAATTCAACCGCAGTAAGTTTCAGTACGCAGCCATCAGCACTCGAAGTTGTGCCTCCGTGGGGGTCACGCCTCAGCTGCCGTGGCTGGAGGCAGAACCGCTGTATTGCGGTGACAGCTGCCACCACAGCACAGGACACAACTGCCCCCGTGAAAACCTCCCCACGCGTCCTGCTTTACACAAGGCCTATCGACCTCCCCCTGCAGCTGAGTATCAGACGAGCAGCTCAAGCCCGGCAAGCTCCCCGACACCGCGCCGACCCCCTCCGCAGGGCCCCGCTCGCCGCCGTGCCCCAGGGCCGGGCGGA